TCATGCAAGTTTCATCGTTGGATGAAAGTAAGTTTGGCACATGGTAATGTTTAGGCTATAAGAGGCCTTTCCTAACTAGTGCTTGTTTGGTAGATGCTCGTTGAATTCAGGAGCATGTTTTAGAAGAATGCCTTTCATCATGTGTTTTTGGAGCAGGGTTTGTCCTTTTGATGTCTTTACTAAACTCATCATTTTATGGTGAGTTCGTCTAGCTTGTGTAAATGATATAGGTGTTTTTGACAAACACGTTTAGGATGATGTTTTCCAACATATCATTTGAAACTTTTCAGCGTGCTTTCTAAAGGCATCATCTCTCAATTTTATCAACTAAAGCATATCGAGATTTTATTATCATCTAGCACTGCAAGATTTTTATTAACGTGTTTTATGGTGTGTCTCATTTACCATATGCATTTAGCAAGATTCTCATTTGATTATGAATTTTTGGGTTTCCTTCAAGATCTTTTTCCAAACACATCTTTTTGACCCTTCGATTTTTTGGCTATGCCTAGAGTTTGTTTGATCATTGTTCCGTGATGTTTACTTATTGATGTATTTCCTAGAGAAGCCGTTTAAAGATGCTTCTAACAAAATCCTTTGTTCCAAGTAGTTTTCTTATGTTGTTTTTCCATTTGTTTAGTATTTTGACTATTGTGTGTTTTGACAATTGTATGTTGTTTTTCCAATCGTTTAGTGTTTTGAATATTATATGTTGTTTTTCCAATCATTTAGTGTTTGGACTATTGTAGTTTGTTCTTCATTTATAATCCTTTGTATATTTGAGGACTCAAGACTACACTCAAGGCTACTTTGTTTAATGTTGTTTGTTAAACATCAAAACCAAAGATGTCATAGACAATCCTAGCCTTTCTTCTCAGACGAGCTTGTCTTAACAATTTTCCTAAAAATGCAGAAACCCCGAAGAATCCCACTTTCACTCTCAAGGAATCACGACACTATCTCTCTTCTCTCGTTCTTAAGGAATAGGATCGTTGTCTCTCTTCTTTCACCCCCTTAATCTTAATCTCGCGCAACATTTCGGAAAGAAAGAGGAAGGAAGATGACTCTTACATAAAAAAAAAGAACAAAATAACAATAATAGGGTTTTCTCTGTCAGCCTAGTAGAAGGAAAAAACACTCTTCTTTAGTTCCCCGCAGATTCGAACCTAAGCCTCACAAAGTCATACACACAACCCTAGCCACTAGGCTATCTAATTTATTTTTATTATAATGTCATTTAACATGTACTCACTAAATACTTTAACGCATATGTAAAAAATAAAGCATTCATAACCCAAATCAAAAGCTCTTACTAATTAAACCACATAATACTTATGAAAAATAAACCTTTTTTATTAAAAACCCATAAACCACCTACAATTCTTATATTTACAACGCACCTTTTCCACAAGTCTTACACTTTTAACTCTCTTGTATTTGGTACTATCATAATTTATGAATTTTTGCTTTTGATCATAAATTTATTTATGTTTGTTGGTAGATGAACTAATCATTCATCTTATTTGGCTGGGTTAGGAGTGAGTGAAAACTAGTCTCAAGTTATGGTTCAATCATTTTTCCTGTATGTGTTTAGATGCTAGGAATAGATCTAAGGTTATCGTTGGATATAGAGTCTTGATTTTAATGCAGGTGATTGATCCATTCAAGCAGTCATTCATGAATCAAACTAAAGTTAAGAGATTCTAGGCTTTAAGTGTTAATGATGGACCTATAGTTACATTTAAGAGAGCTCCCAAGTCTTGATCATTTGCAACATCATATTTAATATAGATATGATACAAGAGATGAAAAAGTGGTGACCTCAAACTTCAACACAGTTTAATCATCTAAAAGTCACTCACTTTGTAATCCAAACTTCTTTCCAACATATTTTACAATATTTTCATGAAACAAAATTTTCTTTCTACATTTCATAACCATCGTTACTTTCCATCAACGACCAAGATAATTAGAGCATTGGGTTTTCTGCCGAATCCTTGTGGACACAAACACTTGTTATGCTACAAACTACACAATATGCTTGCTGGTATCTTGGATTGTTGCATGGAAACCCAACAAAGGTCAAGCTTCTTTTGTGTTAGGTCTAGTGCTTTGAGTTGTATGTTATCTCTATTATTTTGTTGATGTTTTTCCCTGGAGGTCCTCTAGAGAAATGTTGTTTATAGGATTTTATTCTAATTACAATCTAGTAACTTGGATCTTTACATGCCACATTCTTGTTCTTACGTTACAATCTAGTAACTTGGTTGTCTTGTTCAAGGTTTTTTTAGTGCCACGTTCGTAGTTTTATGTTGAAAGAAATAAATGATTCGAAAAGGAGGATTGAGACATGGACATCCTTAAACTATAAAATATATGGGTACATGTAACCATTCGAACGTGATAATCATTGATCCTTGTAGTCTCCATTTTGGACCTGGTAGCGTTGGCCAAGTTATAATGTCCACTTGTTGAGCTCAGTGGTCGAGCTCTATCGTTTGTTGGTCGTTCTTCGTGGTCGTGCTCACATTTGTCAGGTTGTTCTCTTGGAGTTCATCATTAAGGAGGCCAGTCTCGGCCTCTACCAGATTCTCATAGGCTTTCGGACTTTGAAGCTCGGTTGGTTGAGCTCCACAATTGAGGTTGCGTGTATTGTATTGTCTCTCTAAGTCCGATGTTGAGGAGGTTAGTCTCAAATGTGAAGCTCGATTAAGCGATTCTTTTATCAATTTAGTTTGATTTTCTTTATCGCGCACCACTGGTCTTGTGAAATTTGTTTTAATTAAAGACAAAATCATAGAGTTTTGTGGGCGAATGGAAGAAAAGATGGCATAGTGACAGGAGAAGCACACTATAGTTGCTCGATTTGGTCTAAGTAGATGCTCTGATGGTATCCAACAATGAGTTCAACATGGATTCTGCTAGACGGAGGCATCTAGGTTTAGCAAGGATGATGCAACTGAGATTAAGGTTAAGGATCAGACTACACGCCACTAGAGAAGATAGAGAAATTAGGAGGCCATAATGCTAACGAAGGCCAGAGAAATACTGGCATTGTTAGTGATGGTGTGAGCGAGGTTGAGTAGAAGGAGTGAAGTGGAACCTTAATGGTTTAAATACTCATTTTGTCAGGAAAGGCCTTGTTGTTGAGAGGGGAGATCCATGTGAAAAAACTCTTCAGTACTCAATTCAGAAAGAAAATTATGTTCTTTCATAATAGAATGAGAATAATTATTTATGAAATAAATATTCCTTGAGAAATACTAGTTGTATTCATAAAATCAACCTAAATCATGAGTTTATGTTTTATTAAAATAATAATTTAAAAAATATAATAACAATATAATAAATATCTATATATAAATAATAAAAACATATTAAACTATCAAAATTTAATTATAATATATAAATATGTTTTAAATTGGATTGCTCCGTGATCAAGAACCTTAAAAAAAAACCAATACGTATGGGACCTATTAGAAATAATTCTTCTAATTACAATTATACTTAATTTAAATATATTAATTTAAATTATTGGTAAAATTACACTACTCTGTATATGTATTGTGATTAAACGTGTAGCTATCATTGGTTCCCAATCCCATCATCACCGATGCAACAATTGAGTCTCTGAAGTCAAACCCACTCTCATATTTAATTTAACTCCCATAGTATAATAATCATTCACCACTTTGCCAGTGGTGTCGCACTGATCGATGCTTGTGCCCAAAAATTCCTAATTTTCTACCGTCACAGATTCTTGTGTTGCATAAGCATGCATCACAGATGTAACATACAGACCAATCAACCATTCAGATCATGCTATTTCGCACTACAAAATTGTGTTGAATAAGTATTTTATGCCAAAACATTATTTTCTTTTCTTATACAGTTAGATGTTTGTCATGTTAAATTTGTTAATAGTTTGTAAGGTTCTTTCAGAATTACTTTTGATTTTAATTGTTATTGATCATCTTTCAATATTTAATACTTTTAGCTACACAATTTATTTATAAATTAATTGAAAATATTTAAAGGAAAAAAAAGTAATCAATGCAACCACCGATTAGAAAATAATTTTCTTAAATGGGGTAATATGTACGAAATTTTTCTAAAAATTAAATACTTTTCTAAAAATAAGTTCAAAAAATAATTTAACACTTGCACTCCTCTTTTCGACTAACCCATAAATTTTTATGTTTATATTTATTAGTGTAAACATATGTTTATAACATTTTATTGATAATATCTTGTTTAAATAATTTACAATTTAATATTATTTTTTATTTTAATAATCAATTATTTTTGAAAAAAGAAATTCTTATTTATCTCGTTCATTTATGGAGTGTGGGGATAATTATTATTTAACTAGTTTTTGGTTTGGTTAAAGAGTAAATTTTGTCATTTATTAAAATAAAAGTTAAACATAAAGGAATTTTAAAAAGTGGACAGTTAAACAAGCAATATACTCTTTTCTGTAAAAGTAAAATAAATCTGTCTGTAAAAACTACTTTTTTAAACTAAAAAGGGTACATCAATATTTTAGCTAACAATAAAAAATAATTTAGTAAAACTGTTCTACTCATCGAGTTATTTATTTATTATTTATTATCTTTATAAAAAAATCAAAGATATATAGTATGTTTTTAAAATGGTGGGAGAATAAAGTTATATAAAATTTAGTTTATTTAACTAAAATTCATAATTTGTATGGACCAGCTGTAAACAAGACTTTTTCATCTACCATTGCCCTTTTTCTGTCTTTATTTATTGATCCCAAAGCCCTTCTCTTACTCTCTCTCTTTCTTCAACCACACTTCCAAGCCCCACCAAAAGACCAGACTTATATTTACTTACAATTCTACAGACAAGGAATATCACATCAGCATAATAAGAAAATAAAAAAAAAAATATTAAAAATAGTGGGAAGAAATAAGAAAGTTTCAACTAAACAAAACAGGCAAATAAATCAAAGCCAAATACTCCCTTTCTTCCTTTCAACAAACATTGTTTTTCACTCTTCCATATACCATTTCTCTTCAATTTTCATCTAAAGTCCATACCAACCCTTAGGCTTTTTCTCTCCTCCTTGTTTTTGGTACACAGAACAAAACAAAGTACCATTCATCAGTTCATCCTCCAATCAATGGAAATCAGTTTGAGGCTCCAAGAAACAGAAACCCCACCTTCCATGAACTCATCACCAAGGAGCAGCAATCTAAGCAACAACAACAGCATCATCCAAAACACCAACACCACACCAAAATCCTTCCCCAGATCTGACTGCACCCCTTACCCCACCACCTTTGTCCAAGCTGACACCTCCACCTTCAAACAGGTGGTTCAAATGCTCACTGGCTCATCAGACTCCACAAAGCCACAAGATCCAGCTCCACCACAACCATCCAAGAACTTCAACATCCCTCCCATGAAAACAACACCAAACAAGCAGCAAGGGTTCAAGCTCTATGAAAGGAGGAACAACAACAACAACAACCTTAAGAACAACCTCATGATCAACACCTTGGTCCCCAATTTTGCACACATCTCAGGATTCTCCTCACCCCACAAACCAGAGATCCTCTCCCCTAGCTTGCTTAACTTCCCCTCCCTCACTCTCAGCCCTGTCACCCCATTGAATGATGATGACCCTTTTGACAAGTCCTCACCTTCACTGGGTAGCTCTACCTCCTCAGAGGAAGACAAAGCCATAGCTGAAAAAGGGTTCTACTTGCATCCCTCTCCCATGTCAACTCCAAGAGAATTTGAGCCTCAACTCCTGCCATTGTTCCCTGTCTCTTCACCTAGAGTTTCTGAGTTACCTTGAGAAAAAAACCAAACCAGACTAAAAACAAGATTTCTATGTATCATCATCGTCATCTTCAAGCTATGATTTATCATTTGATTTTCATTTGAAAGGTACATAGCTTACTCAAATTGTACACTTAGATGATGATGCCCTCTTTGTCTTCCTTCCATGCTGCTATTGCTATCCCTTTCTCCTCTCAATTATAGGACTTTTTCTTTTCTTCTCCCTTTTTTTTTTGTAATTTTAAATTTCTATCCTCGTCTTCTAAGTGTTTGTTAAACCACATCTAAAGGAAATAACCATTACCTAGAGAGAGAGAATCTCAATTTATGATCAAGTGTGTTGATTCAATTTCACACCAACCACTGAAGAGAAGTTATGAAGAGACTCAGGAAAAGGCAAAGAGAGGGTAAGGAAATGAGCATAATTTTTTGGGGAGATATTTTTGGTGCGCCATAGTGTCTAATGCATCTCTCATCAAAGAAAAATGTACCCAAAAGAAAGGTGGGTGGGTCAACGCAATGAAGGTTGAAAGGGTCCCTCTTGTTAGTGATTATGTAATATTTTAGTCTGAATTAATAGTTTTAGGTTATGTTTTCCTTGTCTCACTCTTATTTGATGGAAGATCATGTTAATGTGTAAGTTCTCAAAATCCCTTTCTGATGTAGTAAAGGAGAGACCTTTTTTCTTTTCTTTTTCTTTCTTTGTTTTTAACTGAAAAAAAAATGATGGATAGTGACAGTACCTTGTCTGTAATAATTGTTACATCATAGTGAGTATGTGTGTTTGTACTGATAACTAAAACTTTCTTGTTTAATGGTTCTTATTGCTGATGAAACTATGCAGCAATCTAGTTGGTAAGAATAATGGGTGTGTTCTGGTTCTGCTTCTTGTTGTCTGATGACTAATACTAGGCACTAAACTAAGATAAATGTCAAAACTCTTATCCTTTGTGTAGAGAACTCTAAAAGAAAATTCGCATGGAAAATGTAAGGAGCAGTTAAACAAGACTCGTGTCTCAAATAACGAAAGATGTAAATGGTTTTAATTGAAAATATTAAAAAATAATTTTAAATCTAATTCAATTTTATAAAAATTATCTTTAAAATTAGATTTATATTTATTAATATATTATAAATATATCTTATCTTTAATAAAAAAAAAAGTTAACATAAATAATGATGAGATAAAATTGCGCCAGCAAAAGAGAAAAAAATATGATTGAGTTAAATTTGGTGAGCACTTTTTAGTGATTAGTGGCTGTCCAAAGAAAATGTTATTTGGTACAAAATTGTAAGCACAAAATGCATGTCATAAAAACAGTAAAAAACTATTCAAAGATGATCTTAAAATAATTTGTTTAAACAAACTTATTTACTTAGTATACAAAGCAATTAACTACTTCACCATTTTTTTCATTTTGTTGGTTTAAAATTTCAAGATTGTAGTGGGAAGCATATAAATCAAGGAGGAATGACAAACTTACAATGAAAAGTCTAAAGATGGAGAAAGAGAAAGTGGGACTTTTGACACAATCATCACTGTTAGAGAAAGAAACTTGGGTAGTATACAATCCATACATAAATAACAAGATTAGAGAATATGTGATGACAACCTTATTTTTCTTTTCTTACACCTTTTAGACTTTGTTTTGTCATTTAGGTACATCTAGGTTGGACCCAACTGTGCCAGTGCAATGAACAAAGAATGGACAAGAATAAATTTTCTTTCTACCACTTTTTATTCTATTAGGCACATCTAGTTCCATGGTTTGTGATCACTTTTTTGACAAATATGGAAGCTAATTAGGTGGTCTAGAAAAGCACCAAGCTAGTAAGACCATATCATAAAGCACAATGCAATTTTTAAGAGGAGTTTAAGGATTTTATTAAACTGTTTAAGAAAAGAAAAATTCCCATTATTTTATTGTGTCATACAACACATTTTTGGAGAGTTTTACACTGTAATGCTTCCAAAAATGGTTGGATTCTCCGTCCAAATGTTGCTAATGGTTTTTATGTTTCAATCCTTAACATGTCAGTTTATTGCACTTTAGTCCTCCATTGTTGTAAAGATCTGTCAACGTCTTCACAAATCTCCAAAACTAAGAAATGGGACCACATATTCTATCACTTTGCTTTTATGTGAGACTTTAATTTGATAATTATTAATGCAATTTTGTCCTAACTTTCATTTATGCAGTTTCATAAAATTTACCTTGATATTTTAAGTAAAATACAAAATGTTAACTCTTGACATCATATTTAACTTACATATCATCATATTGCAAAAGTTTGATTGTGTTAAGATGAACATCCAATATATAATTATCATATATTTAAGATTAACGGTTCTTGTCAATAACCCGCAAATACCACTAACCATCTTTTATTTTTAAAAAATTTGAATTTAAGGTCCATTAATTAAAAAATGTAAAATGACACGAAATCGATTTATAAAATAACATTATCTTGTGAAAAAATAACTTTATATGATAACTTATTA